TAAAGAGTCAGAGGTATTGCCCAGATGATGGTGGAACTTCCTAAGGGTCTGAGCAAGGGGATGGAATACGCGTTTTTTAGAAAGCCCGGAGACAAGTTGCCTAAGGAAGAGGCATTACTGACCTGTGCGGGGGAGACAACGTGGGACCGGGCAGGAGAGGTTGGTTTTAAGACATGCGATGAGAAGAGGAAGGATCCCAGGTTGATGCTCCATTACTGGCTGGAGGCACCAAATTGATGTCCAGTGTCTTAAGGTCCAGTGATGGGGGTGATGTTCACTGACATGGGAGATGCAAGTAATTTGGGAAAAGAAGAGGATCACACACAACACACATATTTCCTTTGCTTGTAATCATTTATATATTGGTTTATTTCATTCAACATTCCTGTGAACTTTTAATTCAATTCAACACATACCGACTGACGTATGTTATCCGCTAGGTACTGTATTAGGTGCTAAATGGGAGTCAGAGGTAACAAGGTAATGATAACTTTGTCTCTAGAAGGCCTTTCACCTCAATTGCAATGGGTTGGGCAGCCGTAAGATCGATATTGTGTGGCTAATAAAACCCATTAAGCTTTGAGTGAGGGCTTCAGGCCATCATTCTGATCATACCGACCAGAACCATCTTAACATCAAAAACAACAGACTTGGTGTCAACGCCTGAGTATAATTTTTAGTGTGGAATATGCAGTTATTGTAAGTGTAGAGTATGGAATTTAAGTCACGGGCCTGGTGACATTCTATCTACATGGCCCCAAGTACCTTATTCAAATATGGAATGTTTACTTACAGCTTAAGATTCCTAAGACATCGTCAACATTCTTAGAGCTGGAAGGGCCACTTCCTGTGTATCCCCACAGCCCCGTGTGTGTTATTACTTCATAGCACTTGAACCATATTAATTGTAATTGTGTTTGTCTTCACCATGAAACCGTGAGTCCTTTGAAGTCAGCGACTGGGACTTTTCATCTCCTTTCTCAGCAGTTAGGCAGCCGCGTGATTTGGAGCGAATGTTTATTAAACTTAATTAAACCTTCGAAAATCTATCTTCTGTGTCCTCGTTTTGCAGATGGAGAAATCGAGGCTTCAAGAAAGGGACTAATTTATGCAAGTTCGAATAGGGAAGTAACAATAGAGTGAAAAATAAATCCTAGTTTTATTTTGATTGCTTCACATTTTTGTGGCCGTTTTTCCTCCTGCCCAGCTCGGTTTGCTAGCTAATTAGCCAGAAGTTGGAAGCATTTACAAGTAGTGGAAATGCAAACCTCCTTTGTTATGAAAACCAATGGCCATGCAAATCAAGCCCTTAGCCCTGTATTAAGTGCAGGATTTGTTTCTTAAGTCCCTTCACTTACTCAAAAGCCAGGAGTCAACAATGCCTCCCGTGTAAGGTTTCATTCCCCTCAGAGAACACACACAGACACACACACAAACAACGCATGAGCACGTGATGGGAGCAGGGCCGCTGAAAAGGATGTTTGGGATGAAATCTTGGCACGTATAGTTCCTGTGTGACCTGGGAAAGTCAGAAGTGCCAGGATTCAGATGGATTCCCGTTGTTCAAGTTCTCACTCCTCCGTGCTCATCCCTGAATGGACACCCATCTCCAGGGACAATTTTTGAGGATTAAAAGGAGGAAGAATGGTTTCCTCACAGAGTTGCTCTGTTACCCTGGACCAGCCCGCCAGTCTTTCTGAGCCACTGTATCTACATCAGAAAAACACATTAGATGAGATGATCTGCAGAGCCCCCCGAAGCTGGAACATGCTGTGATTCTCCTCCCCTGAGAGCGAATTGGATTCGAATGGAGTGTCGCAAGGGCTGAAGACGCAAGGAGAGAGGGAGCCTTCGCTGACACAGCGCTGGCCTCCGCTGCCCTGCCAGGGCTCCCTGTCTGATGTCGGCCTTTTATCGGGGCATGTGCGCGCTCTGTCCAGGGCTCGCCTGGCCACTGCACCCGTCCTCGTTCTGTTCCTCAGGGTTTGGGAAGGAGCCAGTGGATGTGGAGACTCAACAGACAGGATTTCTTCCCAAGAGCTGCTTGGATGGTGAAACAGAGTCCAGAGAGATTTTCTGTTTTGTTTTCCACAAGCGCCAGTGACTGTTGAGTACAGAACACACAGTCACACATGCACACACACACAGCCACCCACACATGCAAAAACACAACCACATACACAAACAAAACAGGATGTTCTCTCTCCTCCGCTCGCTGGAGTCTCAGGCAATCTCCTACCATCTGCGTCACTTTCACCAGGGCCGGGATTGCACCATTATGGTAATTGAGCCCTTCCTGCTGGCTGGAGATGTTAGAGAATCCCCAGCCATGAGCAGTTGTGCGCGTTAATTCAGCGAGGGGGGAGCTGCCGAGGGAGGGAGCAAACAGCCTGTCAGTCAGCAGGACCGCATGCCATCCCATCTGGTTGCAGTCCTCGGAGAGTGCCCCCTCTGATGCTGGTAGGAGAACAGACACAGCTTCTGACGTGTGGTGGGAACAGCGCTATTGCTATGCGCCAGATCCTGGCTCACGTACCTGATGTGCAAACATTGGGTGGGATATATTTACACTAAAAAAAAAGTTGTTGTTTATCTGAAATTCTAATTTAACTGGGAGTCCTATTTTGGTTTGTTTGTTTGGATCACTACTCTTAATTCAAGAGAAATTAGATCATTTGTTTGTACCCCAGGAAGGGATATGGGTTAGAACATGTGGCAGGAATAACGAGCCTCCTTATCACAGGTACCGTAGAAATGTGACGGGGCTTACCCAGTAGCATGCGCGTACACACCTTCTCCTTCTAGATCTGTGTTCCGGGTCGCTCAGGAGGCAGACCCAGGCCCATTCACATACACGTGCTGTGCTTGAGTCTTCGGAACAGCGCAGCATGGAAAAAGTGACACCTTGGTTATGGGCAGTGTGAAGCTTTCATTTAAAAAGTGGACAGAAAGTTAAAAAAATAAAAAGGAGGGAAAGAAGAAAGAAAGAAAACATAGTTTGCTCCCTGGCAAAAGTGTAAGAGATCAACATTCTCTGGGAGCCCTAAGTTCCTTTTATTTTTTATTTTTGAATATTTTTCTTGATTGTAGAGGGAAAGGAAGGCAGAGGGAGAGAAACATTGATCAGTTGCCTCCCAGATGCACCCCGAGTACTCTGACTGGGGATCCAACCTGCAGCCTGGGTATGTGCCCTGACCGGGAATCGAACTGGCAGCCTGAGTGCACCGGGTGACACTCAACCAACTGAGCCACAACCCTGAGTTTTAAAAAGAGCTGTGAAACAGTGTGAAGTCCCAGTGCCTGAAATATCAGTGGAAAAGGGGTGACTAAAGTGTGAAGTACATCTGAGCCAGAGTCTCCTGATGAGTGTCTCAGCGTCCCTTCTTTTGTCCAATAAATATGACTGAATAGCTGAGCACACTGATAGGAATAAGGCATGGCCCGTGCCCTTGGTGGGACCCAAATGTGTTGGGTGAGACAAGCAAGGGCATGTGGTGGTAGGCGGGGTCTAGTGCGTGACGGAAGCTAGGAGACAAGCATGATCCCAGGCTGAAGAAAGTCAAGGAGGGGTTCCCAGAGAAAGGAATGTTTCACTTGAGACCAAAAGAGTGAATTGGGCCCTGGCCGGAGTGGCTAAGTTGCTTGAGCGTCATCCTGTGCACAGAAAGGATGCTGTTCGATTCTAGGTCAGGGCACATGCCTGGGTTGTGGGCTGAGTTGTAGGGGGCGTGCAGGAAGCAGCTGATTGATGTTTCACTCTCACATCCATGTTTCTCGCTCTCTCCCTCTCTCTTCCTCTCTCTCTCTCAAAAAAAAAAAAGTCAATAAAACAAGAGTGAATTGCCGGATAGCATACAAGGGGCTGGTGAGGTGGCAGAGTAAAACACCAGAGAGAAAAGGATGTTTTTAAAAAAGGCCACAAAGCACATTGCAGTCAAATAGAACATCGGTCATCATTTAGCACAAGAGCCAGCAAACTCTGACACGCAGGCCAAATGTAGCCTGCTGCCTGTCTTTGTAAATAAAGTTTTATCGGAACACAATCAAGCCCATTTATTTAAAGCATTGCTTGCGTTCCTTCTATGCTACAAAGGCAGAGGTAAGTAATTGTGGCAGAGACTGCCTAGCCACAAAGCCAAACATATGTACCATCTGGTCCTTTACAGAAACAATTTGCTGTCTCCTGATTAGGAGCACACATCACACGGGCAGGAACTCACTGTTGGTGGAGATGTTAGTGGTTGCAGGAAGGTGGATGGTAGCATGCAAAGGAATGTCAGGAGTGGTGCTAGGTGAGCCTGGGCGGCTGGTCAGGAGCTGGAGCGAGGAGTTTAGGCTTTGCCTTGAGGGTCACGGGGAGCCTCCGACGGCGACTGAGCAGGGAGGTCAGACTTCTACACGAGGCAGTGTAGCAAGGTGTTTGAGAGGACAGGGCCCGGAGCCAGACTGCTTGGATCAGATCCCAGCTCCTCTCTGACCTCCTCTGTGCCTCAGTTTTCCAATTTACAGAATGGGAAATGACCATAATAATAAAAGCGTAATATGCTAATTAGACCAGATGTCCTTCCGGAAAACCTTCTGGACGAAGCTGGGGCTGTGAGGGAAGCCCGGGTCCCGGGTGCCAGAGGGGAAGCCGGTGCCAGCAGCCGGGGGAAGGAAGGCCTACTCTTGCATGAATTGCATCCGGCCTCTAATCATTATAATAATACATACCAGTCGTGTGCAGTGGTAAAGATGAAATAAGTTCAGGCAGGCACAGTGCCAGGCCCAGAGAAGGTTCTCTCTGGATCCTGTCTCAATGAACATTCTGCTGCTGGGTAGAGGATGGCTCAGAATGGGAAGACCTGGTGGTAGAGTGCTAGGTGGCGATGTAGGCACCAGATGGTGTCCTGTGCCCAGAAAGCTGCTCTTACATGTGGGCGGCTCCTCATGGCCATGGGCATCTTCACATCAAGTCTCCAGGACCGCCGTCATCATTCCTCTGTCCTCCTTTCTTGCAGGCCTTCAGGAGCGCGCTGATGAGCTCCTACTGGTGCTCGGGAAAAGGGGATGTGATCGATGACTGGTGCCGGTGTGACCTCAGCGCCTTTGACGCCAGTGGGCTCCCCAGCTGCAGCCCCCTCCCGCAGCCGGTGTACGTATGTATGGCCCCTCCTCCCTCGGTCACCCCTTTTCATGGCCTCGCACCCCTGTCCTGCCAGTCCCGGCCGGACTTGCTTCTGTTCCCAGGGGACCTCACCAGATTGCTGGGGCCTCTGGGGCCTGCCTCCTCCTTTAAGAAGGCAGGGGGCTTTGGCAGGGCAGAACCCGGCTCAGGGCCGGCACTGACACGGCAGCGTGTGCTTTTTTAATGATGTTACTCGGTCCTTCATTCCTTCCTTGGCTCATCCACTCAGCAAAGGTCCACTGGGTGCTGACTGCTGCTTTGTCATCTCCTGGGTTGGACAGCGGGGCCACTGAGATGCAGAAAGTGTAGAACCTTTTCTAAGATTCATTCAGTCCATGATTATGTTTGACCACCTGCTACGTGTCAGATACTGAGGACTTGATGAGTCAGGCACAGACTGTAAACTTAGGGAGCTTACCGTTTAGTGAGGGGGAGAGATGTCACAGCAAAAACAGGAAAATAAGATACAGCTTTTTAAAAATTAAGTAAACACATGAAAGCAGAACAAAGAGGTGCTAATGGAGAGAGTGATGTGGGGGTGCTTTAGTTGGAGGGGAGGGAGGGAGGAAGTCAGGAGGTCTGGATGAGAGGCAAGAATCACGTTTCGGGAGAAGGAAGCGCGTGTGTGAAAGCCCCGATGCAGGAAATCCATGTGGAGGGTGGGAAGGACAGGCATCTGCAGCGAGGCGTGCAATCAAGAGGGGGAGTGCTGTGAGGAGCATAGGCGAGCTGGATGGGAGCCCACATGAGGGAGGGAACCAGAGTCCCATAACACCCCCATGGGGTGAGAAGAATTACATTGTAGGGTGGTCCTTAAAGAGCTAGTGTGGTGTAGTGGAAAGACACCGGGTTGAGGGCAAGCAGTCACCATCATGGTTCTGTCCCCAGCTGGCTGTGACACTTGGTGCAAATCATTTCCCTTTCCTGGGCCTTACTCTCCCCACCTGTCAAGTGGGGGAATGCCCTCCCCTCTCTGTGAGGACCCTCCCAGTTCTGACCTTCAGTCATTGTTAGTTGTTTCTTGCTTCATAGAAGGATTCCCCAGGATGCCTGCCTCTGTGAGGGAGCGCTGATTTAAGGATAGGAAAGAGTTGGTTGATATATTGTGGGATGAAAAATGACAGAGAGGTGGAAAGCCACTGTGTCTGAAGGTGCTGCCAATTGACTGGACAATGAGGCATCACTGAGAAGATAGTTTAAATAAACAGAAGGCCAGTCACCTTCCTGTGAGCACATACTGTGTGCTCAGATTAATTTACGGCATTCCACATTGATTCTGAAAGGTAGCTCTTCTTAGCTCCATTTTATGGGCGAGGAATCAGAAGCCGAAGGAGATCTGAAGGAGATCTAAAGCATCGCCTATGTCAGTGGTCGGCAAACTGCGGCTCACAAGCCACATGCGGCTCTTTGGCTCCTTGAGTGTGGCTCTTCCACAAAATACCCACTTCTGCGCATGGGCCACGAAGTTTCAATCGCACTGTATGTGCACACCCGCACGTGGTATTTTGTGGAAGAGCCACACTCAAGGGGCCAAAGAGC